TAGCACAAAACATTATGTGATTGTAGAACGCAGAATTTTGCTATGGCAGAAGGGTAAATTCATGCTATCTTTTATGAATACCTAGAAAGTAACGGTACCAAGGGCATGGTACCATTGAGCTACTCATCTGCCTCCCTTTCACACTTCCTTCCCCACTCCCACTGCTAAGGCGCACAAAGCCTCAGAGATAACGTCTGTGTGAGAGAGAGGGTATTATTATGCCCTTTTTCTAATAAGGAACATCAGCACAGAAGAAGTAAACGTTTTACTTAAGAGGGGACTGCACACATCCAAAATACTCCAATGAAGGACTGTGAAACCACACTTTCTTTATACGCACATGCAGCTATGAGTGATAGTAATGGAGCGAGACAGCATCTACGACACTGCTATCCTTCCCCTGCCAGCCCCTGATCTAGAATTCATACAGGCACTGAACCTGAATGGTAACTTTCTACACTTAAAAAAAAAATACATACATATTGCTTGATTCTAGTTACCTCTTACAGAACTAAATAAAAAGCGTTATCTTCTAAAAACAGATGCACTTTCCACTTAATGACCTTAAGACCTACAAAATCCAATACCTCCCATAGTAATTCATTCCAGTCCATTATTCCTCTGACATTTTTTTGCTCTTTCCACTTCCCACCCCTCCCTGCACCATTTCTATCAACTTCCACTAATACAGTCATGTGGTAAATGTCCCAATGCACGGTCCAACAATATCCAGAAATGATTACAGAGATCAAAATCTGCTCCTGAGGCCTTATATTCTCAGTCTTCCACCAACTCGCCATTTGAACAACTAAAGGAAGTGGCATTTGTGAGATACTGAACTCACATCTGTTGGTGCAAACATAAACTTGTGAATTACTGCACTACATGGTTATCCAGCTGTTAAAAGCTTTAACCGCAGAGTGACCTGAACACTTACCCTGTCCAAATCATGAATGAAACCTGCTGTTCTGAATCCTTCATGAATGCAAATGCTGACAAAATCAGTTGATATGGAGAATCGCATAAAAAGTCTCCAAAAGGGCCTGGGTTAGAGGCATTGGCTCCTTTGGAAGAAGCACAAACTTTGGTGCGATCAGGGGTAATGTGGTAAGTCGGATCTAAATGTAGGTCAGATACATGCCAGAACTGCCCTGTTTTCAGAAAACAAAGATTAAAGAAAATGCATTATTTGCATTTGAAATGGATATACATGGGTAACCCCAAGTTTGCTCCAGTTTGTCTATTGCTATTCCTCTTTCAAGTCTTGAAGAGGAGAATAAATTTAACAAATTGTCGATTAGCCTGTCTGATAAGTGTGGGCGAGTTCTGCATTCCTGACAAGAGTCCTTCACATAGTCTGCTCAGAAAAACTGAAAACAGAAGCAGAGGCACAGGTTTAAGCTACTCAGCAGAAAATGAAAGGAGGTTGGCAGGGAGTGGAAAATCAGCTCCTTTTCATTAATAGCAATCTGGAAACTGGAGAGCAGAAGAGACGACAGGAGGACTTCTCCACTCCACCTGAAAAGAGAGGGAGTTGAATTTTAATTATTTTTCCCAACCTTCCCTGGCTGGAAGCTCCTGTAAAAGATCACAGCCTAGGAAGAAACGCAAGAAACAGCATGCATGCAAAAATTTCCAAGCTCCTCTTCTCCCCAGCAGGCAGGGCAGCAGAGCCTGGGCTTTTCACCAGAGAGAGATGTGTCAGCCTGGCCTACTCACTGCTTTCCAGGCTGACAGGTTCTCTGCCACTGTTGCTTTGCACTGCACAGAAAAAAGTGGCCAAGAAGTATAGGAAGATGGTGAACAAGATGAATTAAGCCTGTGCGAGACTACCAGCCTTCAAGTTTCACGTGAAGTATGAGTAACTTCTTTCTCCCCGTTTCAAAGCGCTTGGGAAAGGCACACACATATCTGGGGTAGTGGTTGTGAAACCGGGACAGACAGAAATCGACCTTTCCCAAGGCCACAGGCTCGCTCTCTGGCAGTGCAGGCACCACACGGCTGGACGCTGTCGAGTTCTGTTTCGGGAAGCGAAGACCAGCAGCAAGCTCCGACATCCGTGGAACGACTGAGTCCCGCTCAGGGGAGACGGCCAAATGCCCGGACGCCGCTGCGGGCTGGGTCCGAGGCCCGGGCGGTCACCGGGAACGCCAAC